TTTGGATGGCAAGTGTACAATTTTAGATCCTACTAGTTAGGCTTGTACAACATCTAGCCCCTGAAATAACTGCTTGGACCTACAGCACTGCAGATATTTTAATAGCTCACCTGAGAATATGTCATTTTATTAAACATGGAAAGGGCCCTAAATGACAGCTCTGAGGCTGTCATTTAACCTGATATGTGATGGTTTAATCCTGTCATTTCCTTTGGCATGCCCTTTCCCCCTCACTTCCTACCCCTTCTCTCTGAAACCTCATTTGTGACAATGTTGTCCGTTTAGTTGGGGAATTCATGGGCTTCCACTGCAAGCACTCAAATTGTCCTTGCACATACAGTAAATCCAGCGTGCTCCGAGTGTGACGGAATTTATTGTGCAAGGTCCTGACCCAAGATGAGGTCCTGAAACCCTCTGACAGACAATCTTGAAGTAGGTATCATATCTCAGTTGAGTGATGAACGTGTGACCACACGAGCTCTAACCTGCCAGTCTCATCCCTTGGTGTGTGTAGGGCAGCCACCAGCAGGTCCTCTCTATGTCCAAGGACTGGACAGCTAGGAGGGGACGGAAGCAGGACTATTGCACCACCGAAGGGTGGTGGAGAAAGGATTCTGTGGAGGCAGACAGAAGTTGTGGGAATGGGGAGAGAGAAGAAAAGGGGGCATTAGATTCCACTCTTAACCCTTTTCTCCTCTGCAGGAATATAAAGCATTAGTATGTTTATGTCTTAAGAGGCCCACCCCTGTATTTCAGGTGTTCAAGCTTTGCTTACACACTGAGAAAAGGAAAGAGGAAAAAGCAACAAAGCATTAAGTATGTAAAACTATTAAGCAAGGCTTTCATTTACAGCAATGGCTTCTTTTCTTGTTATTCCTGTGCCTTTAGCAGTTGAAAGCTTTTAAAAGAAACCTTGTTCGTGACATCAAAATCTGACTGGTACTGAGGGTGAGCCCATTGCCGTGCAGAAGAAATGCCAGAATGCAGTCACTAGAGGTTCTTTCTGGTGTCCATAGTGCCTGGCCCTGCAACCACAATGGCAAATACCCAAAAAGGAAAGAGTAACATGGAGGGGAGAAAAGCAGTTGGTGCTGCCTGACCTCCAACATCAGTGCTGGATACAGGCAGGGAATGCAGTCACTGCAGCCAAGCTTGGGCTAGCTGAGCCAGGAGGCCAGGCTGTCCCAGCCTCACTGCAGTTGTGCTAGAAAAGCTGTAACCTTGGCAAGATAAACTAGGCGTAAGCAGACGGTAGAAGGAAATAGAATAAGGTGGCAAAGGCATAGAAGGATGGGTGCTGGCGGGGCTGGGAAGGTCTACAGCAGCCCAGCATTATATCCCAGGCAAATCTCTCAAGTTCTTTGCCTCCCAGGCTATGTATGACAAGCCATGTGTTGGGTCACTGGCTTCAGGGAAGAGCATCTGCTGATGGGATAGGGATTGTGGCTCCAGGCTGTGGCTGGTGGGGAGGAACCAGGACCTAGCAGAGTTCCTTTTGGGGCGGACGTGCCCTCTAGCTACAGACCCACAATGGGAGGAAGCTGTGGCTCTTCCTAGGCCATGTGAGCTACAGCCTGGGCTATTGGGAGACTGTGGAGCTGGGGCTGGAAGCAGCTCTTGCTCTGCAGAAGCTGCTGAGTCTGCATGGGTAAAGAAAGGTAAGGGCACCTCCACTGCTGCTGTCTCATGAGGATGACTAAGGCCCCTTGATTCCTGATGTAGGCATAGTCCCACAATGACAGTTTGGTGTTTTCAACTCAGCTGCTTTCCTGGTGCCAGGGGCAAATTAAAGCCATTGGAACTGGGTGATGACTGTAACAGCCCATCCTCTTTTATATATATGTTCCCAAACTAGCCCTCATTCCCAGCATGTCAGCTTTGGGTAATTGATTTCTGGTCTATCACACCTCTTATTTTCCAGTCAGTCTTAATTGCCAGGACTTTATTAGCTGGCCATTTAATCTGGGTTAACCCAGTATTATTTTTTTCTGCTGACCTTACAATCTCTTTCTGACAGACTGAGTTAAACTACTCTCCCTTTGGTCAATTTGTAGTACAGGCTTCAGTGCAGACCATTAATTTTAACTGGCATATTTGGATGACTTATTTAATGTTAGGGAAGGATATAACAATATCTACCTATGGTCTGTAAATTAGCTGCATGTTTTTTGGTAACTTCTAATTCATGGGCTTCCTAAGAATATGAACTGAGCTTGTGTTTGGAACAGAGAAAAGAATAATTTTTTCAAAGCCCATGACATTTACAGGGCCTAGATCACTCTTCCATGACACTATAAAGATGGCATGTACTGTTTTCTTCTCCTGAACTTAATTCACAAATCAACAGTGATGCAGATAAATCATAGAATGGTTAGGGTTGAAAAGGACCTTAAGATCATCTAGTTCCAAACTGACTGCCGTGGGCAGGGACACCTCACAGCAACAACGGTGAGTGCAGCAAATTTCTGAGGGAAAGTAGCCTGTTCTTTTTAAAACAAAAAAAGACAAAAAAACCAAACACAAAACCAAAACTAAGCACATTACAACAACCCCCACTCTCATCTCCCAGTTCAGATGAAATACACATACAATAAACCCAGGCTGGTAATAACTGCTATGGGGGTAAAGTGCACAACTGTTCACTGAGCTACAAACCCATTTCCTCTTCACTAAGGAGAAGAAAACCACATATCAACATTCAACTTGTACGAATAAAAATCACAAGGGAAATTCTAAGACTTTTGTCTTGTTTTCCTTGCACAGTAGCACATTTTTGTTTTGTTGGAGAAGCAGGACTGTTTGCAGACTATCAGCTCCTTGTCAGCAGGCAGTTTCTCAGAGTTAATTATAAGAGAACTGCACTTTGAAGCAATCTCTCATTTGGAGGTGTAGATCTCTGTGAGAGCGGCTGCAGCTGTGCTTCCTCCGGTCTCCTTTGGCCATGAGGTATGTTATGGGATCGGTTCTGATTTGAGGGGTATGCAGTCCTTACTACTGACTGTAAATGGAAATAGTAATTTGAGCAGTACTCCTCATTCTGTTTTAGTGTATGTAAGTTTGATGCTTGAAATGAGCAAGGAAAGTGAGCAGCTAAGTCTTGTCTGTATGCTTCAGTCTGACAGTTTTCACCTCAGTTCTGGGGGGAGCTACTTCTAAATTTTCTTTCTTGATTTTTGTTTCACGGCTGTTATTGTTCCAGTGGTGGAAACAAAAGGACTTGGATCTCCCTGTGGGAGTGAATACGTTGCTTGCTCTTTGCAATGGGAGTTCCCTAAACAGTTTAAAAAGAAAACACCCCCCCAACACCACCAAATCCCACCCCTCCAAAAATGTGCCTGAAATCTCTGGCCTTCTTTTTAAACTGTGAACCCTGCTGTGCAGATGCCTGCTTCTTCTGACCTGCTGAATGTTGGAGCTAAAATGAAACGTACTTTGTTCTCTCTCTTTGACGCAGTTAGCACATGTTGAGGGAATCAGAGGAGCAGTATTTTGGCACAAGCACCCAAAATCCTAACACACGCACACACGCTGCCTGATGTTTCATTTCAGGTTAGAAACTGGATTACAACATGCTTTCACCCTGTGGGCATTACCCAGGGAAACCAGGCTGGATCTGCCTGATGCATAAAATAGATCTGGTAAATGATTGCCAAGTGAAAAGTAAATGATGTATGGGGAATCTGTATTTTTAACAGAAATTGAGATTACTTTTCAGCCATGCTAAATGATTATTAATACTACTTACCTCATCGGTGCAATAAATGAATAAATTAATTCTATTCTGGATACTGTGCTTGAAAAGCTTAGGGCAACATTTTAAACTTCTGAAATAACAATATCTGTCCTAATTAAGTCAGAGTAGCACAGACAGTGTTTAAACCCCACATTTTTTATTCTTGATGCAAATGGACCTTTGTGTCCTTTTATTTGTGGGTAGCTTTGTTAGCTTCAGTTAGCTGAAATACTTGCATATGATTTGCTTTTTCAAAAGAAAAGATACACTGTATTTAGAGATGCAAATACTACCTAGTCTGCAAAAACCACCAGCTGTTTTACTGGAAGACAAAGCTAATTCTGTGTTGCTTTACTTCAGTAGTGTCTGCGTATTCAGAAGCATCTTTTTAACAACCTTCTCTGCATAGCTGAAAAATACCAAACACTGAATTTCTTTTGGTAATTGCCTGGTTAGATCTGAATTGATCTGTGATTTTACATTTTTTTTAAACAATTAAACAGATTAACTAAGAGAATACACCTTCGTATTAATGTTTGTACAACAGTTGAACAGACTGGTAGCTCTGATTCTCAGGTTCCTTGAATATGAGTTTACTAATTGCTGCCTTAAGTATTTGACTTGAGTCTGCGTCAGGTCAAATACACAGCTCTGTAGCAGAAGAAACTGCTGCTGGTTCGTGTGTCAGTAGCACAGCTTTCTGAAGAGGTTCTTTGCTTCTTCTTTAAATATCTGGCGAGACAAAGAGCGCTTGTGGGGGTCTTTTGTAGCTGCTGGAAGTTGGAGCAGGGAAGAATTATGTCCTGAGAAATACTCTGAATCCCGGAAAAATCAAGGCGGAATCGTTAAGTGTTAAACTTTGTCTCCTTTACAAACGAAAGTGCTTTCGTTTCATCCGTGGCGACTGTCCTGGTAATGGGCGTTACGTAACATTTACTCTCCCCTTCGGAGTTAAATCCTTCTTCCGATTCCCAAGTAATATTTGCATATGTATTTCTGAGCGGCATTGAGATGCCAGATGCACAGCGGTAGCCGTGCCTGCCTGCTAATCCTGTAATAACATTCTGGTGACCAAATTCAATGGCCCTGCGCGGAGCCTGGAAACAGCTGATTGCTGAGTAGGGAGGGAAAAAAATCACCCAGCGAATCTCGTCGCAGCTCTCTGCTGCATCCCTATCCCACAATCCCTTGCACCATTTGCTGCAGTCTTTCTACCCAGGCTGAGTGAGAAAAAGATGTGCTAAATAAAGATTGATTGGTTTGAATCCCGAAGGGGTCTCCCCCTTGTAAATGACCCGGGGAAAAAAAAATTCATGACGACTTCTCTGGGCCTCCTCTTATTCTTCCATTTTTCTTTCCACCTGTCCTCTCCGTGGAATGGAGCGTCATTCCGTAGAGCACAAAATCTGTCATGCATCTAATAATGACTGTGCTGTGGTAGGGATCCTGAGACAGTTTTACGCGTGAGGCTTGAGATATTGACAGATGATGGTTTGTTCGTTTGGATTACTGCGGAACTGCAGCTCCGTCCCTGCAAGGATTTTATCCTCAGCACTGCACTGATTAAGCTATTTTTCTACAAAGATGGGTAGGTCTAAATAACGCTCAAGTTCTCTCAGTGTTATTCCTGGTGGCTGCTGCTGCTGGGTTGCTCCTTCTGTTTCAGCCACCAATCGTTCATTATGCTTCTGCATGCTGTAAGAATGAAGAGAGTTGCTGTGTTTTAAACAGGGCACCCAGCTGATTGCAAGAGTGGGAGAGAAAGGAATGCAAATTTAGCTTATCAAACCTTTTACACAAGTGGACTGTGTGGTGGTTATGATTATTAATTTGCGTGGTGTGTTCTGTATCCGCTAATTTGGGAGCTGCTATTAGAATCTGTTCTTTATTCCTAAAGACTTTGGACACATGATATATCTGTTTTAAGGACTTTTAAACCCCAGCTCCCTCATTCCTTGGAGTAACAATATCGAGGTTTCCCCACCCTTTCTTACAGCTCTAGAGGCCTAACCGTTCCTTTGGAAACGTTGCCATTGGAAACCTATTCATTCATAATACATGAATAGACCCTCTAGGTTGTGAATACCATCCATAAGAAGAGGATGAACAAGCTGCAAGCAATTTGTTCTCCTCAGGCTGTACTTCCAGGCTAGTTGCAGCTCTGGCTGGGTGGAGTTCAGTGATAGCAGTGTATCAGCAACAGAGAATTCTGCACTTTTAGGAATAAATCCTGGAACTGAACACACAGTTTTAAGTTTTCCAATGTCTTTTTCTTGGCCGAGCCACAGAAACTAATAGAGAATTCAGTAACTGTTGAGAAATTCCAGACGTCATTTGAAGATACCTGTAGAAAGGGTGCACCTTCCTATTACATGGCTCTGTTTATCTGAAACAGCTCTTCTGGAACTGTTATTTGCTGTATCCTAATGCAGGTTTTTTTCCCCTTTCTAATGCTGTAAGAAGTTCTTTTCATATGGGTGGGGCCGCACCCTGACTTTGGTTCCTGAAGGCATGCATGCGTAACAAGCCAAGGCTTTCCACTAGCTTAGAGAGCCATTGTTTTCGCCTTTTTTTGCTGTATAGTATATTGTGAATGAAAATTGATGGTTGTATCTCCAGGCAGAAAGAAAAGTCCAATGATATTTCTGGGGTGGCTGCAAAGATAACAGTTTTTGAGCTTAAAAGGCGTAACAAAGGGTACATGTTTCAGAACCCTTTCCTGCACTTAATTCAGCACACATGAACTGGGTTTTGAGTGTGTGATTCTTATAGATAAATGGGTGGGGGTTTATGTCTTATTTGGTGCAATGTTTCATAGACCTTTGGCTTTGCATGTTTAAATTATGAAGTATTAACTATATAGAGAAGTGATTCTTAGACTTGTTTTCAAAGCTCATGCTTCAGCTGCTCTTTATTAGATTGTGAGGCAGGATGAACCTCTAAAAGAGCTGTGTCAGTTTCTGAGCTCAGAAGATGCTACTACAAAAAAGAATGTGGTGGGGTGTTTTTTTGTGAAACTAGTGTTACTCTGCAAAATCTCCCACTGCTAATGTATCTGAAACTTACACTGCTGTTTTGAGGAACTGCTGTGAATAGTGCCTTTGGTGAAATTCAAAAGCATCATCAAAAATCTCCAGCTTTTCCTCAAATACTCTTCTATTGTACAGTTGCTTTCATTGAGTCAGTGGGTAAAATTGTCCTCTCGTAGCAACAACACATTCATCAAAATTGCATCAAAGGCAGAGTTGGCTCAGGGAGGCTGCAGAATCCTGAAAATTCCATACTGAAAAAACTTTTTAATATGAACCACCTGTGTAAGACATTGTTCTAGCGGGTAGTGGTACAGCTTGAAATGTACTGGTGAAACTTTATTTCCAGGTGCGTGTTTTTAGCCTGATGTCTGTGAGCACAGGGGATAAATGACAGTCATGGCCTGCTGCATTCCAGACAAAACATCAGATGTTGAAAGCACTTATTTCTGAATTGTTAATGATTCCCTTCACTGACAAAGCTTAAAGTGTGAACATTTGAAAATCAAAGTGGCTGGCACGAGCCTTGTGTATGAAACCCTAAGATTCACCTGATTTTGCAATGAGTTGGGGGAATGTAAAAAGCTAAAATGAAGATCGGATTAAATGAATATGACATTTTCCAGGCAGCAGGAGTTGTCCTTGTGTAAACACTATTGGCTGGTGTAGCGGTACTTGATAGCAGAAAGATGAAATTACAGAAAATATCTGGTTGCTAGAGAATTTTCTTCTGTTAGATGACACGCAGCACTCTCTGCAGACCTGTTCTTTCATATAAGCAGAGGGTTTTTTTTCTCAATAGTCTGTGCTTAGTCTGTAGCAAAAAATTTACACTGTTCATAATGTACCAGTGTCCAGCTTGGAAACTGTGCTTTTGATAAGAAGTCCTCCTGCTTCTGATTATCTTCCTTGTTTTGTTGGGTCCCCACCCCTAACTTTTGGGGAGAGAAAATGGGAAGCAAACACAGCTGCACCAGTGGTGAAGTGGATTCTCTTTTGAAACACAGTTCCACATGTTATGCTGCCAAATGCATGAATACGTTGGTGCATATTTGATAGTCTGCTCTTTCTACTCTGTTTTGCGAAGGCTAGATAACTTTATTTCCACTGCTCGTAAAGCCATTTTTAACTCAAGCTTTTTAAAAGTAACATGGGTTCCTAACTGATCTCCTAAGGTTTATTGTGTGTTATTTATGATGTTTAAATTGGTAAAATTAATTTGTGTTTATGTAATATTTGATTTTATCTGGCTATGGAGAAAGAAACAAAAAATGAAAGTGAAGCGAATGATCAATCCTGAAATCATGCATTTTTGGATCATGAACAAGCATGATATTTTGCAAATACTATAGCAATTTTTAACCTTGCAGATTCCCCCTTCTTGGAAAAGAAAGGAAACAAAAGGGCCTGCTGTAAGCGCTTTCCTTTGAATTAAATGTCAGTTACTGCTGTTGGGTATTCTTAACTGTGAATAACTTTATGCTGCTCTATTTGCTAGCACAGAGGTGATTCCTGAGGAACCTGTTATCAGGGAAGTCAGTACAGCCTAATCCATAGTCACTGATATTATCACAGTGAGGGTGGTGAGGCACTGGAATGGGTTGCCCAAGGAAATTGTGAATGCTCCAACCCTGGAGGTGTTCAAGGCCAGGCTGGACAGAGCCTTGGGCGACATAGTTTAGTGTGTGGTGTCCCTGCTCATGGCAGGAGGGCGGAACTAGATGATCTTAAGGTCCTTTCCAACCCTAACTATTCTATGATTCTAAATAGCCACTTGCTTAGTGTAGTAAGTAAGACATACCTGTATGGCAAAATACACAGCTCAGGAAGAACAGTATGAGTTCAACTCTGCCAGATTAGTGTGCCATGCATTCAATACGGGAAGAAGATCTAATGCAATGCTGCCAATAAAATGCTACAGGTCATGCAAACCATTGTGGAATTGAGTGACTTTTGAATGAGAATGATCAGCACCAAGGCAGAGGGCTCATTATTTCTGTCTTAGAGAGGCTGAGCTGCCCTCAAGCCAAATATCAAACTGTCTGAAGTGGATGGCTAAAAACTGGGGTAGAAAATGGCTAGGGAAGAAATTACCTCCTTAGGAGTGTACCAGCGGTGGAGCCCAGCTGGGCACTGCTCACACAGAAAAGGAGCCCCTGAATTCAGTGCTGCGACAGAGACACTGGCTCCAGCCCACTAGAAATGCTGATGGAGAGGAGTTCTTGCTGGGCCATCCTGACGGGGCCTCTTCTTGGCAGGTTTTCCTAAACTATTTTAGCAGGAAGTCTACTTTTCCCTGAGGTTGCTTCCTTCCTCTTCCTCTCCTGTCTTCTCTTTCCTCATATGAATTCTGTTGGCTAGAATCTGTACCTCCAGCTGAAAAGAAGCTAAGTTTTTCTCTCCCTGTGCCTTAGGTGTTCCAATCCTGCTGGCATTCCTTTAACCTCTTAATTTAATTCTGTCAGTCAGTAGACTTTTTTCTTACCCTTCTCTTTCATGCTTTATATGCCAGGGTTAATAAGAGTCTTAGAAACATGATTCTTACTACTCTTTCTTCCTAGAATGGCACTTTTCTTGCATTTATTATTTTGATGTGCTTCCTACATCCTTTACCCTACCTTTGCTGATTCTTAGCACCTATTAGTTGCCTCTTCTTTGCTCAGTTTCATCTATCATCAGGATTTTCACCTACCTCACCTACACAACTGATGCAGAAATTGAGCATTCCCTTTCCAGAGGCTGGCAGGTTCTGGAGGTTCTTTTTTGGGGGTTTTCTGGAGTCCCAACCTATCTTTGGCAACACCAGCACTGATAAGGGAAAAAGTTGTTAGGCAAACCATTTTCAAATGTCTGTGACGCAGCCATTTGGCTGCCTGGTGCAGTTCCAGTTGAATCATTTTGCCAGCGGTACTGTAGATGTAAGAAATCCTATCTTTGTTAGCACTGACTGAACCTACTAGCACAAGAACGTTTTTATCATGGGATTTCTTCAATGCATAAGGATGAAACATGAGTGAATTAGTTGTTGATTTTGTTATTTCATGGAGCTTATAAGCCATTTTTCTTCTTTTCTTCTTTTCCCCACCCCACTCCAGCAGTGTGCAGGGTAGAAGGGAACAGGACCCATATGTCAGTGGTCTAGGATGGCCAGTGAAGGCTCCAACATCCCAAGTCCTGTGGTCCGTCAGATTGACAAGCAGTTTCTGATTTGCAGCATATGCCTGGACCGTTACAAGAACCCCAAAGTGCTTCCCTGCCTGCACACTTTCTGTGAGAGGTAAGTCCTTTCCTCAAGCTGGTAACTAGGTTTTTGTGTCATGCAACAGGCACGTGGATGGAGACTTTTCTCTTTACTTGAAAAGGTCATCTCAAGGCATGATAAAGTCTGAGAATGCTGGAAAGTCGGGGATGTAGAAAAACACTGTTATTTGTGACAGGCAGGAAGAAGAGACAGCAGTGGAATATTTGGAATACATTCCCTTTGTGAAAGAGTAAATAAAAAGCAAATCCAATGAAACTAATGGATACAGTTACAACAATGTGAGAAGTGTTGGCATTCAGAATTTGGACTTCAATGGCCTCAAATTTATACTGATTAGTCTACAATTAGAAACAATAACAATCTTTCTTTGTTGATTTACTAAGCAGAGAATTAATTATCCCATCCTGTAATGTCCAAGGGTTAGACATGATATATACATTATTAATAACCTGTGATTAGATGTCTTCATTATTCTGAAGCTTGGTTGACTGAAGTGGAAAAGCTCTGAAAAGAGATGTGATAAAACAGAAACCTTGCACCTACTGTATTCAGCTAAATGAATTGAATATACATAGTGATAATATTAGTGCTATATTGTCCATCAAATGGTGGAGAAAATACAGCATCTGCAGAAAAGTTAGCTGAAAAAATGTTAGAGTTCTTTACCCAGTAATGGGATCCAACTCTTTGGATTATATATTGAATAGCATAAGAATTTTAATAAATGGTATTTTGTGTGAGTATTTAGTTTAGGAGATTTCCCCTTCCTAGAATTATGGTGTGCATGTTTAACTTTGCACAAGGTGCAGGAAAAACTGTGGATCTCTGAATGTGTCAGATGAACTGGTCTTTTGTAGAAGAATGGGAAACCCTGACTTTACTGAAGTCAGCAGTGAAACTCTCGCTGAAGTCAGTGAAGTCAGAATTTTCACCACCATGTCTTAAGTTTCTTGACTTCAGTTCACGTGTAAATCCTAAGGTCAGCTTCTGGTTTTCACTGTAATCCTCTTATGCTGATCTGATTATGGAGAGAGGCTGGAAGAACTCTTCCAGTGCACGCCTGATGTGCAAAGCTAAGCTCTCCTTTCATAGAGCCCTTACTGGGGTGTCAGGAGGAGAGCTGCCAAGGGAGGATGAGAAGTGGTGCAAGAAAAACCCTTGGAAGAGCAACGCGGCTGCGTGAGGTCACACTTTCTTGGTTGGCATCTCTTGAGGAATTTGGTGTAGCGCCGCTCCCATTAAGGACTGCATTCTGCAAAGCTTCCTGTGCTTATGGGACTATACTGAATTGCCAGTTGCAGTTGGATGTTGCATGCCCAGCAGCTGTTAACTTGATTTTCAAGGCCAAAAGTGGCACTAAATGTTACCTGGGCCAGTCTGCTGCATATTGTTGATCACAGAACTTTTGTGTCAGATTCATATTCTGTGAAATTTAGTTTTTCTAAAAAGCCCCCAAGAACCCTCCCCTCCCCCCCCAAATCAAACATAAATAAACAAAAATCTCCTCGAAAACTCCCCTTAACATAAACTGATAACCTAGGCTGTGCTTCTCTATGTAATGAAGACGGCTCTGTTGATTCTGGCTAACTGCTCAATGACTTTCCTAGTTGAAATAAATGGGAAAATTTCCATCGGTTTCACTGAGACCAGGTTTGAGCTCTGAAACACTAAACCCACAAATAAAATTTAATAAAGGAGATTCTATTGGAAAGACAAGGGTCGACCACTGGTTAGGCAGTTAAAGACACAGGCTCAAATACTTGATGTAGTAACTTCATGTCTGTCAAACTTCATCTGATAGTCTATCATTTTTACTATTCTGTGAACAGAATGCAGTAGATGTCTGGAAGCATGGATCCCCTCTGTACAAATATCTCAAAGGCAGGCACATAACTCTTAGAGTGATGCCAGCTTATAAACCTTTTATCATGTGGCAGAGGTAAAAGGTTTAAAAGAAAAAAAGAAACCACTTTTACTTCTAAAGCCTGGTGATGCACCTTTCCCTTTATAAGTTCTTCAACTGCAAGGATTTTTTTTTTCCTCTTTGATGATACTTTGCTTTTCTCTCCTCTTCCACCTCCCTTTCCCATAGGTGCTTACAGAATTACATTCCAGCCCATAGCTTAACCCTTTCTTGCCCCGTGTGCCGCCAGACCTCCATTCTGCCAGAGAAAGGGGTTTCTGCACTCCAGAACAACTTCTTTATCACTAACCTGATGGATGTCCTGCAACGAACGCCGGACAACAGCATTGAAGACTCCTCCATCTTGGAGACTGTCACCGCTGTTGCCGCGGGCAAACCACTCTCCTGTCCCAACCATGATGGAAACGTAAGTGAGATGAACTCCTGTGATGTGTACAGGTACTGTTATGTACTGACTGGTCTGGTTTGTCATAGGTATTTTGTTCAAAAAAGATAGGGGGGAACTGGAATCACACTAGTTCTTTGATTTTATATGCCAACAAAAGACAAGTGATTCTTACAATTAACTCAGATGCTTTTAGTGGAGCATTTTAAAGTAGTCAGGATATTATTTCATCTTACCAGTCATCTTGGATGATACTGTCTTTTAGCACATTTGGTAAAATGTCCTGCAAGTGCTGAACCTCATGCCTTTCCTATTTGTGATGGGTTTCCGTAGCTCTCGTGCTTGTAGAATCAACTATTATTGTGGGAACCTGTGTGCTTGTTTAGTCAGTATGTGGCAGGGACCTTACAAGCTTAACTGACCTGCACACTGGTGCAGTACTAAAAGCTATGTGAGCATATTAACATGGAGCCAAGTAGAAGGACTCAGGATGATTTCGGTCAGCACAGGCTAGAAACAGAGTTTCTGTTTACCTGCAGTGTTTTGTGCATCTCACATGTCAGTCCTTGGAGGATGCTTTCTTTTTTTCCTCCGCCTACTTTCTTCACCCAGCATCCCCCCCACATAGGCCCTCAAATCATATCACTGAATTAGTTGTCAAGCACCCCAGCTGAGTAAGTATTCCCGGATTATTACAAGAACAGCTCTAACACTGCTTTTTGAAAATGTTCAGTGTTAACCTGTGTGGCTTCATGGAAGGCATATGAACTCCTGACTTACAGCAAGGCCTATGCAAACGTGTAAGAAGACAACATTGCAAAGCTGAGTGATGCTGTGTTGTGAACTGAATGCTGTGCTTCTATGCAAGCCAAGAAATATGTATAGTATTTTAACACAACTTTCAGAGGACTTTTTTATTTGATACTCAGTTTAGGTATAGCAGTTTTATAGGAATAATTTAGCTGATAAGTAGTGATTACTCTTAGAGGAACAGCTAAGTTCCTTTACCTTTACTGACCTGCTGAAATTCGAGGGACTTGTCGAACTGATTTGCTGTACACTCAGATTAATGAATAACTGGTATAACTTTTTAAATGTGTGCTATACTTATGTGTGTGTAGTGGTTACTGATTAATACATTCCTAGTTTTCATTTGCATTTTATTGGCTCTCCTTAAAATGAATCATAGTTCTTTTCTGACACAGCAATCGTGAAAGGGGTCGCTTGATTGTGAAATGCAGAAAATGGTCACAATGAAGATGTTACATGGTTTGCATTTAACATTTTCAGCTGATCATTCTTCAGGTGTGCTTAATAAAAACTGGTTTGCCTACAATTAAAAATGACACCTTATACCACTCTGAGAACTCCTTTCTAGGGAAAGGTGTTTTTGTAAGTCCTCCAAACCCAATGTCTTGCCTTGAAACACAGTATGCCCTTTAGGATGCTGAGTAGTGTGTGACAGGAGTATCTTCTTGCTTCAGTAAGTACCTGGGAGGGTTGGGGACAGTCTGAAGGTGACTCCAGTTTAAAGCTTTGTGGAGCTAGGAAATTAAAAGCTAAAGTTCACACGTTGGTCCTTGTGATGGGAGGAGCTTTGGGGATAACTGTTTGAGGCTGGTTAAAGCAAAGATAAGCTTTGGGGAGAACTGCCTGAGGCTGGTCAGGAGTGTCTGGCTGAAGGGCAGAGTGTGCAGGGCAAGGTGCTGGGCACCTTAGGCCTCACCAAGGAAATAAATAGGTTTCTGCTGGCTTCATGCATACACAGCACGAGGGCACTGTGTGGCAAGTGCCTGGCTGCTGGCAGCTTTGTTGGGGGCTTTAGAGAGTGAGAGAGGATTGAGGTGGTAGCTGAAGCAGAACGTCTTCACAGAACCAGCAGTCATTCTGCTCTCCATTAGTTTTTATGTTTTGCTTGGTAGACCCATTGTGGTTTTACTATCAAGGGTAAAAATTTGCATCAAGTGTATTTCATTTAAATATTACCAGATTTTCTTTGCATTAGCTTGGGAGTAAGTTTCTGTTTAAATAAGTTTTATCAGTCTTTCCAGCCATGCTGGATTTAAGCCTCTCTGATTAAAATCAAATAGAAAATGATGCACAGATACTTTCTCAATGGCATTCCTCTCCGCTTGTTACTTAGCCTTCATCAGGCCATGTAGATACTTTCCCTTCCAGTTGGTCTCTTATTCCCACCACTCATTTTTTCCATATGTGTATGTATCCTATTCCTTCTGCTCACAACCTCTCATCCTCTGTTGTGGCATCTTTGTTGTGTGCATTCTTACAAAAAATGAAACTTAGCTTGTATCTTAACACAAGAGACTGTTTCCTGCACTTGAACTATTAACAAATGCTTCCTCATATGCACCCAATGTGAAGCACAAATATATGGTCTTGTTAAACTGGGGTAATAGGGCACATATATTATGAAACTTCTGAACCTAGCAGAAGATTCTTATCTTCTACCTACACGTTAAAATAAGGTTGGCTTTATCCTCAGCTGTTAAACACTGCAGCTGTTGTTGGATGGCTTGGAAACATTGACCTGCAGTCATTTAGGGGCAGGTACAACAGCTAGGACAGGGAAGGATGTAGAATTCTAGGTCCATTACTTCATAATATGTAATGAGTGGTGTAGCCTCTTTGCCATCACCCATCCTGGAAAGTCCATGCTTGGGCTTTATTTGAATTTGAAGTGAAAGCCAGCCCAGCATCTAAGATCCATGCTTTTACAGGTGCAGTGTATTTTCTGCCTATAGAGTGTAACAAGAGAGCATACCCCATATTAAATTAAATGCTTGTGACAGGAGAGAGTGCCTTATCTCTGACTAGCTTTTTCTTGGAAGATCACAGAATAGCTTGGCAATTTGACAGGTATAAGGTCTTGTCTAGAAAAACATTTCCTGAACTTGTGCAGGTGTTGCTTACTGCCTGTATGTTTCTCTTAGAAAAATAAAGTACCTATCCTTGATACTCTGATGAAGTGACTTTATAACATACCTTACAAAACCTCACTTTTTCTCCTTACCTCTGTACTTCCCACCATGGCTCTTACTCGTGTTATCTCATTGTGTAATATTCAGTGTGTCATTGAGGCTAAATAAAAGAATCAGAATGTCAGAGTTAGACTCTTAATGAGAATTAGAGCTAATAAACAGAGCTCATTGCTGGCACAATTTTGTTCTGCCTGTCACAAAATGTGATACCCATGTTGGGGATGGAAGGAAGAGAGGAAAAGCCAGTGAGACCTGTCCATCTGTAGCTGGAAATGAATCTCACCTGATTAAGAAATGCTACACAAAATCTTAGGAAATCAGCTTATCTAGGCACTTGAAGCCTGAATTGTATTAATATTAGGTTTTCTTTCTCCTTTAGCTATGGCACAATCTTCAGATTTTGATGTGAAATGAAAGCTGCTTCACTCAAAACATTGTAGTTTGACTGAGGCAAAGACAACTATTTCTATGCAGAAATTACATCTTTGTGGTTTTCACACTATTACCATCCTAGCTTATGTGATTGATTCTCTGGTGCTTTAATAAAAAGGAAGAAAGTTTATTTAGGCTAAACTTTAATATGCCAATGAGATGCTTTCTTTCCTATATATGTTGCTGCAAATATAATGATGCTTATTATGAGGTGCTCAATAGGAAACAGAAATATTAAATTATTCTAATCATTGTATCCAAAGATAAAAATATTTAATAAAGGCATATTAAAACATCTTGAACCTGCACATTAAATTATGAAGAGGCAGAAAGATGAACTTTTGATATTCAAAAGAAATTAAATTTTGACCATATAAGAAGACATATATATAAAAAAATAAAAAGAATTTCCTAATAAAATATATGAAATATTGTTCCTTTTGGTTGTTTCTGGCTGCAAATTTTTGAAGCCTTTGAAAAGAATTTAAGGCCTAACCTCTTTTAAACTCATTTCCTCTAGGCACTGTAAGACTGCATCACATCTTAGTGCCTACCAAAGTAACTGTCAGGCCTCAGAGGATGTACTAACGTGAAACTGCTAAATTCACAGTGACTAGAGTAGTGTTGATGGGGATGGTGGTTGTTTAGAAGGTCTGCTTTGTTTTATTCTGTTTTCCTGGCTGATGTAGTTGATCTTACACTGTTTATTTGGAGCAGCTTTTAAATTTTCTCTGAAGTGGCTTACACAAATGGCCAACAAATGTCTTAAACCCTCATTGCATGTGAATCCCGTATCTTGTGAATGGAGATAAGAGGGAAGAATGGGAATAAGACAAAAAGGAGCTTATCAAAGGAAAAACCCTATTAATGCTAATAGCCACATGCAAATCACAGTCTTATTTCACCCTCCTAATTCTCAAGATGTCTTGGAGTAGGCAGCTACTTTGCACGGTGCTGTTACAGGTTCCTCTGCTCACCTAAAACCAGCCATTTCTACACGACCATCTTGTTGTCAACCAACATCTCCAGCACAGCCATCTTTGTGTGAGAAGTCTGAGTGCCAGAAGCATCAGCCAAGGTTCTGATGCTATGCTGTGAATGCAAGAGAGCTGCCAATGTCTTGCCTTGAAGCATATACTATGAGCTTCCTTATATACTTACTAAGCCTAAAACGCTTTGTGCTTGAGGACTTCCTGGCTGTAATAGAAAGTCTCATGCCAAATTTGCATCTGTGCATTATTTCGGGCACAGCACTTTTCTGCTTCTTTTCCTTCATGAATATATTCAGAATTTTGGGTATTTATTACATGTAAAGATCTCTTTTTATCTCCAGACAGCGTCTTACTGGGTACATAACAGGCTGAAACAATCTTTTCCTCTTTCAAGTTTAGGTCAGCACTCTTATTATAATCTCAGATATGAGGTTTTGATGGTTTTAAGGGATTAGTAATTGGATATGGAGATTTTTCTCTGTAGGACACTGATTCATTTAGGGTGTTTCTCTCTAGCAAATAAACACGCTGTTTGGTGAGCTCCATCAAGGTCATGTCCCTTGGGTGGCCCTGTTATGAAAAACAGCCTAAGTCTGTACTTTCTTTGGCAGACAGTCTAGGGAGACTAAGGATTCAGTTAGTGAGGGGACTTGAATGCCCTCTTCTTTTGAGTTGTTTCATGGAGTAGTTGAGAGAGATAGCAAAACTTACTGGTACACAGTATAAAGATAATGTTAGGGCCTGCCTTGAAGTCCAGTATTCTGTTTCCCAGGCTGCTGTTCTGACACTTTCTGATAGAATGAAATGCATTTAAACCAGTATTTTGATATGAACATGTAAGAATAACAGCCATCTTTTAGGCAGTAAATTAGTGGTGGCTAAGAAAGGAGAAACTTGGTCTCAGAGCTTGGATAATAACATGAGTTCAAGACCCAGTAAGATGTCCTTTGAGTGATGTTACTGCTGCGGTGTTTAGATTTAGAGTTTTGCACTTTTCCAGGTGATGGAATTTTACTGCCAGTCTTGTGAGACTGCCATGTGCCGGGAGTGTACAGAAGGAGAACATGCAGAGCATCCCACAGTACCCCTCAAGGATGTGGTGGAACAACACAAGGCTTCTCTCCAAGTCCAGCTGGATGCTGTCAACAAAAGGTATGGAGACTCCACTGATTATTTTCTATTTTCAGTTCTACCACTGGCTTCCTGCATTGCCTTGGGCAGATGTGCCATAGACCTTTGCTTAGAATACAGAGATAGTGAGGCTAGCATAAGGAAAAAAAAACCCTTTGAGTGTGACGCACTGAAGGGTTAGAGAAGAGCTAAAGATTCCGATCTGTCCTTCACAAAACAGAAGTCAGTAGAAATTCAACTGCCCTCCAAATAAGGGGCATAAAATGTTAAGGAGAAAAGCACTACCCAGCCATGAATTTAATGATAAATAAATAGTACTGGATGCTTAAAAGGTTGGTACAAACACTACAGTGGCAGAAAGGCTAAAAAAAAGGAAAGTGGGGTAGATCTAGATATATCTTCCTGAGCAGATACATTTGCATAAAGGACAGAGGATACAAGGCCTCATTGTTAGAAATACTTAAAGTCTAATGGATTTCCACAAGGGAGGGCCCTGGCTTAGCCTTATTTTGTCAGACCAAAATCACTATGTGGTTATAAAAGGAATGAAGTTACTTCTGGGAAATGACCGAGTTTAGAGACAGCCTGCTGATGAGATGGTTCCATCAAAGATATCAGGGCCAGGGCCAATGTTTAATGACTTTTGAAAAAGCAATCTTTGTAATTTAATCCCTCCCTCAGGCTTCCAGAGATCGACTCAGCACTTCATTTTATATCTGAAATCATACACCAGTTAACCAACCAAAAGGCTAGCATTGTAGATGACATTCATTCCACTTTTGATGAAGTCCAGAACACTTTAAATGTGCGAAAGAGTTTGCTGCTTATGGAGCTGGAAGTGAATTATGGCCTTAAACATAAAGTAAGATGCATGTTTTGTTTCAATAAAAAGCTATTAATTTAATCAACCGTATTTTACAAATGATGCAGGACACCAGTTTGACCAATTGTGTCTGAGATCCTGGGGAGAACTTTGTTTTCCTGAAATCAAATGCTGCAGAGCCTTCCTTGTGGGTGTCCAGACTTATAAATGGAATTTGGCCCCTGTATGGGCAGATAGCCCTTTGTGCATGGTGTATGAGGATCTAAAATAGCCAACACAGTAAGTAGGCATCTGCTTAAAGCCAACATGCTTATGTATAGATGACAATAAGAGAACACCAAAGGAAAGTCTGAAATCCTTGGGCTGCAATCCTATGACTCCCCCCCCCGCCTTTCCCCCCATGAAGATATATGCCAACCAATTTCTTCTGAAGAACTGAGCTTACTGTTTTGCTTTAAAACACTGTTTTCCTTTCAAGTGCCTGCTAACTTATATCATGTTAGATGTCACTCATTGGAACACATAAAGATTGAAGGGACACCTCACTTTCTCGGGGGAATGCAGACAGCAGTAGATTTCAGAGTTGTATTCACTCTTTTACTTCCTATCTGGATGATTGAATCTTGTGCTTTCCTCCCCTGTATTGTAGATTAAGCTTCAAAGGAAGAGAACAGAAATCTGCGTTTCTGCAAAGAAGAGCCAGTATCCTGATGGGCAGGGGTTTTGCTGAGGACTAGTCAGTCTGAATCAGGCAAATGAAATAATTTAGTCCTTGTCTTCCTGGGCGTCATTTGTCTGTTTCATATAAAGGAAAGATCTCTTCCCACAAAGCCTTCAAAAGAAAGTAGCATCAACAACTGGAGTTTCAAGAGTGCCTGATAATATTAGTATCTTTGGGCATTCTCTGCAATTACTGAGCAGCTTGAGCATCTCCAGATGTCTGAAACTGAGGAATGCTGCATTCCTGGATCTGGAACAGGCTTGGTCATTAGGAAGGTATTGAACTGAGCCTGTGAATATGAAGGAATTCTAACATGTACACAAGATGCGTACTTTCAGGAACACACAGAATTGAGTCATCTTCAGAGCTAAGCAGGAGCTGAGGAGCTTTAAAATTCGGACTTAGATCTCAGGTTCATCTAAACGTATTCAAGATGTCACAAAAACTTATTTTCTTAGCAAGTAAATATACTTAGGGTGTGTACAAAGTTCACATAAGAGGGAATATGATGTTAAATTATCTTACTGTTTTTTAAAGGGATTTAAAATAGTTTGAAACCTATTTTGGGCATCAGAGAAGCAAATTTTTATAAAGCTTTAAAGCCGTAAAAGAGGCATCTCCCCTGTTTGTATAAAAAAAAATCTATAGGAATTGGATTTTACTTTTGAATGAATAGTAGTTCTGCAAAATAATTCAAACCCAAATATTCTGTTATTCTGATCACATACTTTACAAAAACATAAAAATGAAAGGGCTACACTTTACCAGAAGAAAGTTGGCGATTCAGTTGAGTTGTCCAATGGACTGAAAGAGGTTTCATGTAAGATACTCTAAAATGCATTTTAAATATTAACTACTGTAAGATTTAATATTTTCCATCTTTGTAATGAAAGAAAACTATTTTGAGAAAATAATAGGTTAAAATGTAGCTGCAAATTGTCTTCCTCCTCAGTTTATGGTTTTTTATGCCAAGCATATGGGGTTTTGTCATCCTAGGACATTATTAGCTATGCTATCTGTTTAACTACTTGTGTCCTTGAATAAACACAAAGCAGATTAGAAATGCCTTGTATTGAATCCTGAGAGTAGCCTAGAAAAACAACTAACTTGAAATTTCAGTGTAGTCTTGAAATTTGTTCATTCTGTTTTGCTTGCTAAAGATTTTGTGTTACCGCTTTCTCATCAGCCTGGATTTTCTCCAGTGGGTGAAAAGCAGACAGCTTTGTAAAATTCAGAAGAAAAATGCCCTTAGAATGTTGTGTCATTACATGTGTATTGAGGCACATTACATGTGTGAGAGGCACACGTTCTCTTGCTGTGTGTCTCAGCAAGAGAAGTCATAGCAATAAATAAACCCAGTCTCCAAATTTACATTAAAATCAATTGAAAAGTTTCAAAAATATTTACTTTACAGTGGTAGTCAACAAAATAAGTTCTCTGATGCACAGTAATGTCTGTGCCCTAGTTCTCCTTTGTGGGAAAAATATACCACATGTGTGACTGGGTACTTTGGTTTGGGGATTTCGTCAGAGAGTGTGGGGGATAGCTGGAATGTTTGGGTTTTCCTGACTCTCGTGAATTTCTCTGCTAGGTTGTTATAATTCAGGGATCCTTTTTCCAAATCATTGCAAAATTGGTTTTAAACAAAAAGTTAGCCTTGTTCCCAGCCCACACCTAACAATTTTGAGGTCAGTATTGTTTTAAGGGTTTTACACCGAGGGACAGAACTCAGCCTGTAATAAAAACTCTTTCTCAGTCTTAAATACAGAGTAGCTACTTGCTGCCCACCAAAATTTCAGACTACTCAACCCAACTTTTCCTAATATCCACAATCCATCCTTTACATTTTGCTTTCCTGTCTGCTGAAACTGGGGGATCAATTTACCCGCTTCTGACGGAGAGACTTCTTTCTTCACTTATCTAGACCAGGAATCACACTTTCCCTCAAGATGGCTGTACAGTGCCTTCTTGTCTGTCTCCACAGAGGAGTAACCCAAGGTTTCTCTGGGCTCTGAAGACATTTTCAGGAAGTTTCTTGCAGCTTCCCTTAGTAATGGGCCTGTGACTCCAAAGTATCTCTACCCCTGTGCATGCAGCTCAATTCCCAGTGATTATCTCATTAACTATGACTATGGAGAGTTAGATGGAGCAGGTGGGGCACAACCTAGTGTGACAGTGGATCTACGAAGCCTCGAAAACACAAAACAGGGCATATTTTTTGTATTGCAGCATGATATTCCAAGAACACGTAGGGGATCAGCATGGTACTTTTTCTAAAATGAAACTTTAAAATAAACTCTAAAATAAACCCTATAAATTGGGTTTCTACAAAGGCCTTCAGATATAAAGCATGCTACATCTTGCTGGGCAGTCCTTGTAACATAATGCTAATCTGGTGTCTGGTAATGTACACAGGTCCTCCAGACACAGCTGGACTCCTTACTTGAAGGACAAGAAAGCATTAAAAGTTGCAGCAACTTTACAGCCCAAGCCCTCAACCACGGCACTGAAACTGAAGTTCTGCTGGTGAAGAAGCAAATGAGCGACAAGCTGAATGAGCTGGCTGAGCGGGACTTCCCGTTGCAGCCCCGTGAAAACGACCAGTTGGACTTCATAGTGGAAACAGAAGGCCTGAAGAAGTCCATTCACAACCTGGGCACTATTTTAACCACCAATGCTGTTGCCTCTGAAACAGTTGCCACAGGTGAGGGACTGAGGCAGACAGTGATCGGACAGCCCATGTCTGTTACCATCACAACCAAGGACAAAGATGGGGAGCTCTGTAAATCTGGGAATGCTTACCTCACTGCTGAACTGAGCACGCCTGATGGGAGTGTCGCAGATGGAGAGATACTTGACAATAAAAACGGCACTTACGAATTTTTGTATACTGTTCAGAAAGAAGGGGACTTCACTTTGTCACTGAGACTTTATGATCAACATATCAAGGGCAGCCCGTTCAAACTTAAAGTGGTCAGATCAGCAGATGTGTCCCCTACTACTGAAGGGGTTAAGAGGCGTGTTAAATCTCCTGGCAGTGGTCATGTGAAGCAGAAAGCTGTGAAGAGACCTGCAAGCATGTACAGCACTGGCAAAAGAAAAGAGAATCCCATTGAAGATGATTTGATCTTCAGAGTAGGTATGTGACTTGTCTGCTACCTATTGACAGACCTAAAATAGTTCAGGGAAACTGGATGAAAAAAAATCTAGAAGTTAAAGTATTTTAAGGCTAAAGCTGTAAGTAGAGAAACCTGATAATGTCTTTAGGCCTCTTGAATTTTGCTCATACATAAATTTTAAAAGCACATCCTTCACCAATTCTGTTTGCAGCAATTATTTAATTGGAAATTGGGTTGAAAAATGCGTACATCTGATTTGGGATAAAATATTTTACCACCTCTTCTGTACTCTATCAGGCATCATAAAATGAAAATATAAGTAAGATCGATGCTTCAGATTAGATTAAATTACTTCTTTAAAAAGTTGCATGGCAAGAAAGGAAGTAGGAGGATTCCTTCTCTAAAACTGTTGCCCTAGAGGTTAATCTAATTCATTCACCTGGAACTCTAAATGATAAATTCTGGGGTCACATATAGTTAATTCATCACGTCAGCATAGGTCAAAATTATGGTTTCATTTATTTTCTTTTTTTTCCCCAGTATCTAAATATATTTGGTTCTTTATATATTGTAATGTTGTCTGTGGGCTTCTAATGTTCGGTAAAAATATAACATCTTGGTGTCATTTACAGGGATTTTCTTTCAGGTCTTTTGATATATACTTATTTTAAGCTACGTAATAATTCATCATTTTAAAAGCCTGTACCATGGGCTGCTGTATTTATATAATATCTGCTTATACAGTTTAAAAATACTTTTCACTTTGCAAAATGTGAAAAGAAATAAAATGTTTTCTAAAAAAAAAAGGCAAATTAATTCTTAATATGTACAATTCAGGATTTCAGCAGTATGTGTTACCAAATTTGGCAATCGGTTGGTAAGGTGGCCTCCCACTTTGTAGCAGAGAATCAATGGTAGTTAATCCTTGAGGATTTTTTAATAATTCTATTGAAAATTCATCTGGGCACCATTTGTCAGTTGGATAACCCTGTCCATCTGATTTCTCATCTGTCGGTATTCCTAATAGATTCCTTGCTTTGATAGAGAGTACATACAATAACATAATGGTTTTCTATCAGAAAATGTATTCAGGAAGCATGATTTGCTTGCTGAATAGGACAGTGCAATGTAAGCTTTGGCTAAAACCACTCATAAAATTACCAGCTTTCCTGGATGGACGGTGCATTTCCTAGTAAGATAAATTTAAAATCACAGAACGGTTTGGGCTGGAATGGACCTCAAAGCTCATCCAGTTCCAACCCCCCTGCCATGGGGAGGGATGCCTTCCATGAGACCAGGTTGCTCAAAGCCCCATCCAACCTGGCCTTAAACACTGCCAGGAATGGGGCAGCCACAACTTCTCTGGGCAACCTGTTCCAGGGTCTCGCCACCCTCATAGTGAAGAACTTCTTCCTAATATCACTGCTCGTACTAGTAAGAGAGGCAGAGGGTATGTATAAATGTAGCCTAGATATTTCTGGGGCCCTGTTTTGAGACAGGGTTGAACAGAATAGTTAAGGTTAATGTCTGAACCCCCTCTAATCTCTTCTGGAACAATTGTGATATGTTGTATGCTAGACAGAGCTGGAGGGACAGATACAGGCAGAGTCTGTGGGTCTGTAGCAGGTAGGAGCAGGATAGCAAAGCCTGCACAGGTACACTGTGCCTATGAGTAACAGAAGAGCGCTGTCTGACACCTTCACTGAATACCAAGCCCTCTTGTTTACATATATTATGCAGTAATTTGTCCCAGTGTGGAAATCGTAGATCTAAATACTTTAAAAGAAAAAAAGAAAAAGCAAGTTATATCCTGAAGTTATTTTAAGACTGTTAATGTTCTTATTTAAAGCTTTTGGTATGGGTTAAAGTGATTTCAGCTTGTAATTTCTGCTTCTGTATCCCTTGCTTCTAGTGAGCAGTTTCTAGCCTGACTACCAATAGCGGTATGGCTCTGCTTTGGGTTTTGTTGTTGGTTGTCTTTGTTGGATTTTGGTTTTGTTTAACTACTCTCTCCAACACACCATAAACTCTGGAAGTCTTAAATGTTTTCCAAAAAGCGCAGTGCCCCTTCTTTGTGTTTTGATGCAGTCATGACCATGTGCTTTATTGTGGAGTTCTGCCTCCTCCCCCTCTTCACCACTCTACCC